TGCGGGGTGGTGAATGGTGGTGGTAGCTGTTGCGTGCAAGCTTCCGCCTCTGTGGCTGGCAGTAGTGTATTTTTTAAAAGTGCCAGATTTTCAAGAATTCTGGATTGTTAATGTCCAGATTTATGAGGTTATACTGTACTATGTTTTCTGGTATTTATTTTCATAAATAAGTATTTTTATAATTAATTAGTTGTATTATGAATTGTTGCCATATTTTTAGTTTGCAGAGGCTTCAAATTCTATGTTGTCAAAAAACTTACCTGTTTGGGGGGGGGGGGGTTGGAATATGGAGGAATGGTTCAGGATTAAAGAACAGATGCATTAACTGTTCATTTCTGATAAATGAATGAATGGTGAAACGCTTCAGTTTTCCTATTCTGACATATTCAAGAACAATATTTAACCTCATGCTGAAATGAATAGAGCAGTTAATCCCTCAGGCTGTCTCTGCACTTGGAAAGATAATGAAGTGTTGATTTATAGTTATTCAGATCATGTTTCCAATATTATTTTCTCAGTAATAAGAAACAGGATATTTTAATACCACAATTTATGTTCTGCACCACATTTCACACCAACAGAATGGTAGGATATGCTGCTACCTATATAGTGTGTATCTTTCTGACAGCATTTTTAAGCTATTTTATGTGACCGTTTGCTTCCATGAAATTCTAATATTTGTTTGTTTTGTATAAACTTTATATGAAGTGAATTCATTTTAAGTGGGTATAAAGTGTCATGATATGGCAGCCTGTAAGGAAAAGATGAAAATGCCAGTTACAGCATCTAGAATGGATGCAATCAATTTCATTTTTCTTATGAAGAATGAACCCTGCTAAGTTTTGGCTGTACTGGAAAGAGCTTTCTTGTTTAGTTGTTTGGCTAAACCCTCACAGTGATGCTGTAGCTTACATAATAGAAGATATTGAAAGCGTGTTCCACAGCCTTCTGACCTTATTTGTGAATGAATCACCACCTAGATTAAAAATGGCTTTAATTTAATCTGTAATGAAACTGGCAGTTATCTCAGTGAACACAGCAACCCTATCACAATGTTTTTTCTGGTTTTAACACTGCTTTTAACTTCCTGTTGTGCTGTCTGAAAGCCTCAGCTGATATAAAAAGTGTATTTTACTTGTTGAAATTTAACAGCATTCTGATATATTTTGCTTATGGCAAAAAATATTGTGCTTGCTGTAAGAACTTCCCCTAACCCCTACCAAAGACACAATTTGTAGAACTTTAAACAGTTAAAGTATTTTTGTTTTGTTTTTTGTTTTTATCAGAAATGCAGCTAGGATTTATTTTCATGTATTTACTTTTTAAAATATTTTGAATGGAACTGTAGTATCCATATAATTGGGAGACATATTTCACTGGCTGTAACCTAAATGCAATAAAATGCATCTTGTTGAGGTTTTCCATACACATTAAGCTTGTAATATTTGACTGGCACGCAGATGTATAGTATATTTTGTAAGATAACAAATGCCATCTGCTCGAAATGTATCCTATTGCAGATGACAAGTGAATTTTACCCTGTGAATTAAAGTTGCTGCCTAAATCTTTAAAATAGTCTCATCCATATTTGAATATTGAGGGCCTGAACACATTACATGTTCACACTAGAGGAAACTGTTTTTGTACTAGTATAAACCCTTAACAATGTAAAACATGTTAGAATCTAGTGTAGTTACCCTGGAGAAAAATGGTAGTAAAAATACATACAGGTGGAGGTGTTGTGTCTGCAGTTATCGTAGGTAGTCATTCAATCATTGCAAGTAGCTTATTATATGTGCCTCATCAATTAGTGTTGAGGTGCTTTAAAAATGTTTACTGCAGTGGCTGCTTCAGGATCCTTGCCTGTCTGATCTGGATTCCAGTGTAATTTATAATACTGTAAAAACCAATATACATCAAACTGGTAGTATCTTGGCCCTCTATTCAAGATATAAAAATTAAATATAGTAGCTATGTAATTACCTTCTGCTTTTGAGTACTTTGGGAGAAAGAATAGTGAAAGATGGAACTAGAGACCATTCTGGCCTTGACACCTGGAAAGATCATGGAACAGGCCCTCAAGGAATTTATTTTGAAGCACCTAGAGAAGAACAAGGTGATCAGAAACTGCCAGAATTGATTCACCAAAAGCAAGTTGTGTCAGACCAACCAGATTTGCATCTATGATAGGGTGACAAGTTCTATGGAAGTGGAGAGCAGTAGATGTGATATACCTTGACCTGTGACCTGGTCTGCCACAGCATTCTCATTAACAAACCAAACTGAGGAAATACAGACAAGATGAAAGCACTGTAATGTGGATATATAACTGGTTGCATCGTGTTCAATGAACAGTCATCAATGACTCAATATCTCGTTTGGAGGAGGTATCAAATGGGGTTCCTTGGGAATCTGTCCTGGCTCAGGTATTGTTCAACATTTTCTTAATGATTTGGATGAAAGAATTGAATATATACTTAGAAATTTGCAGATGACACTAAGTTGAGTGAAGTTGAAGACATTCTGTAGGGTAGTGCCAGAATCTAGAATGACCTGGAAAACGTGGAGAAAATGCCCACAATCAATCAGCTGAAATTCAATAAGGACAAATGCAAAGTGGTGCACTTAGGATGGAATAACTGCATGACAATACTTGGCTGAGATGGTTTAGTCAGGGATGATCCCACCTTGAACAGGGGGCTAGACTAGATGACCTTTTGAGGTCCTTTCCAGCCCTACTTTCCTATGATCCTAAGTTATACTAGAAATATTCTTTTCATACAAATACACTTGTTAAAGAAAATAATCAGTCTTCCATTTTACACCTCGGAAGCAGAGAGTATGCTGAACTTTCCCTTTCCTTTGTGTGCTTACTGGCATAATTGCAAACAGGTAAATAGTCTACAGAAACACTATCCCCATACTTATAGTAATTAAATTCAACCTCATCCACTTCAGTATCTTACTTAGGCACATATAATGCTTTTGGGAAGGCAGGAACGAGGGCCTGTTTGCTGTCTCACTTATTTCCTCATCCCCCAAAATTACATTGGGGCTGTTTTAAAGCATCAGACCAAGGAGAAAAACAAATCACTCAGGTCCACTGAAGACCCAGGAACCAGGTGGGGGGAGGATTTACCCCCTTCTGCCCTTCACTTTGGGTGAAGTTACACATTACACACAGACCATACTAAATCTGTGGAATATTAAATGGTGTTAAAGCTACAACGTGCTGTGAGCAATTGCACATAAAGTAGGGTTACCGTATTTCCAATTCCAAAACAGAGGACACCTGTGCGGGGGACCTCACTCCCCACCCGCAGACCCCTGGCCCAGATGGTGGCCCTCACTCCCCACCCAGTCCCTCACCTCCCCAGGCTATGCTGGTGCCCCTCACTCCCAACACGCATCCCCCCCTGGCCCTACCAGCGCCCCTCACTCCTGACCCGCAGCCCGTCCCAACCAGGCCAGCGTGCGGCAGCTCCGGTTTTTGCGGGTGCTCGTGGAGCGAGCAGGAGGGAAAAGGGGAGGCCTGTGGCATCCCGCCCCAGGCTAGGGCTCCCACGTCATGGCAGGCGGCCCCGAGCAAGGGCACTAGCCCAGCTCCCCCGCTGTTCTCTAGAGAGACCAGGCCTGCAGAACACTAGCAGAGCAACTACGCATGCCCCACCCCAGCTGCGGGGCCGCGTCTCACCCACCGGACTGCGCATGCGTAATACTCCTCCCTCTCGCGCTCTGACTTTCCCCTGACACGGCGCATCATCAGCGCGCGCCCCAGCCTCCCCACTTTTGCGCAGGACGGCTCGAGGCCCGATCACGTGGCCACGGCGGGCGGTGACGCTATTGTGTCGTTGCA